TCGATAAATATCGATTAACACTAAGAATCCGATCAATGCGTGAAATATTTTTATTAAGTTTTATTTTGACTGTGCTTTAGGCAGAGTAAATTGAGTTTCTATATATGATGGATCGATAAAGTAGCTAGAAACATATCGATCCTTCAACTATTTTATATAGTTTCAGTTATGTTTTCGTTTTAAGCTGATTTTGAGTAGAATAAATGGAATTTATATAAAATGTTATAAGCGATCGATAAAAATTGATCGATAAAAAAACAAATACATATCAATGTCAAACAAGAAAAACTGAAAGTAACTGTAAACATATCAAATGCATTTCACCTATGCAAACGAAATGCATTCAATACGTATTATGCAATAGAGTTAAACAATGCGAGGAACTGCAAACGAAGTAAATATAGAGTAAACACACCTATATATATACCCACAAGTATACATATATATTCCTAGTCATGTTCATTTGTTTATGTAAATTAATTGGCAATTAATTCAACGATCCTATGAAATATAAAATACCGTTTAGGTGCATATTATGTGAATCATGAATCATGTGTCCTTCCACAAGCAAAGAGCAACTAACAAGCAGAATGAGTAAACCTAAAGCATATCAACTGAAGAATACATACCTAAATATAAGAATATAGGCAATGAAAAAACAAAAATACATAAAATTGAATTTTAAGCTGCTCTCAAAGAGCGAACACAAAAATGCTATTAGAGATATACCTATAGATACCATATATATGAACACAGTTATATACATATACATACATAAAACCCAGTATATACACAGTATATATATACATATATATATAAGTGAAGAAAATTTTTTTTTATTCAAATTTCTTTAACTAAACTTTTAATGCATATGTATAAAATTTAATGTCCTGGACCTATTAAAAATTTAGGCAAGGGGTATTGTTGAAGCTATAAGGAATATATATGTAATTTTGAATTGATATACATTTCTCTGTACAAGCTTTGAATTTGAAATATTATATATATTTGTAAGCTGCAGACACCCAAATTTGGCCATTTTGGGTTTTATGTAGATCTTCATATAACCCCAAATTTTGAAGTTGGAAAATTTCCGACAATATATTGGTGAGTTATGGTCTATTAACACATTCTGATGCCACAGTAATGCTCTAAGAATTTAATCAAAATAGGTAAAGCAAAAAACCAAGAAACCAAGTTCAATCAGTATGTCTCTAAAGAAGTTGGGGTTGTAGGAGGGCGATGTTTTGAATTATGTAACGAAAAATTATTTTGCTAGGTGTGCATAGCAGACTAAAGTATTTTCCCACTCGTTCTTCAGTTTCATTGTTAAAATATCTACCCCGTTTATAATGGTAAATTTTTAATATATATATATGTATATGTATATGTAACCCGATAAATACTAAATACCTTAAATGTTGACTGCTTTTTGATTGAAACTTTTACATGAGCCTAAAGTCCATAACTGACATATAAATAACTAAAATGAACTATGTATGATAAATGATATATGGTGTATGATATATATATATATATATATATCTGTTCTTGCTGTTGTTAACGAAATTGTTGATTGTTATTTGACTATTTTGACCATTATCTCTGAGTGTTTCCTTTTGCTAAATAATAGTTAAAGCATCCACAGTTGATATTACGTAAGTTGTGTTGGAATAAACCTTTAGCAAATCGTTAATGGAAACTGCGAAAATGCGAAACTGCGAAACCTGAGAAGAGATGTTTGAGTTTCAAGTTTTCACTCTCTCACTCACTCATTGTAACTAACTGTCTGTATATAAGAAAACAAAACAAAATATTAACAAAAAAAAAAACCACCAACTATTTTATGATGAAAGATGAAAGTTGGAAGACGAACTAAGGGTACTTCATAGACAGTTGATTAGTTTTGGGGCTTTACTTACGTTCACCTATTGTTGTCTAATCAATTGATGTATAATTACGTACATACATATAAATATATATATACTTATTAGTGGCATATTAAAACTATGTTAATTAATTATATATACATATATATATATTGAGATGAGTTTATGATATACAAACATATATATTATACATAAAAGAGTAATTAAATTGAAAATCGAGAATACATATCAATGTTTAAAGCATAGCAAAGCGAGAAATGATAAATAAAAAATTATTATTTAATAAAAAACAAATATATACGAGTATTTATATATATTCATAGTTTATATACATATATATATTAAAATGGTTTCCCTGTTGTTGCAAATGTCGTGTAATTATTTATTCTATTTCGAAAAAACCAAAGGAAAAAGCAGAGACTAACTGTATTTATTTATTTATTTATTTAGCCCATATAAAGTACAGCTTGTGTAATAACAACAAACAGACAAAGAGCTGCCTAATGACAATTTAAAACAATGGAATCTTATTATCGTAAGCGGAAATTTCCCATCATCAAAAATGCAGTCTTCGTGTAAGTGCGGAGCTGGTGGATGGAAGATGGCGGGAAATGGAGAGGGGTATGGGAATGCGGGAACGGGGAAGCAAGAAGGGCAGCTGCTTCAAGTTAAAGAGCAAATGGCAATTGCCGCTGCTGTTGCTGGCCGCTAACAATGATCCACAGCCAACGAAATTACACAGCATTTGGAGCTTGCAGCAGAAGATCACAGATCAACAATCATCAAGCAGATCAGCTGCTGCGGCGGCTGCTGGCGACAATAGCCTCGTAATGGAGACCAGTTGCCGTAGCCCATCTGTCTATGTGAATTATGTCTGGCTGTTTAGAAGTAGATTTGTTCACTAATTTGCACTGAAGAAAAATTACACAGCAAACAATTGTGCATATATTTTGTTAAATAGCAAGATATTCAAGAAGAGAATTTGATGAAATATTTCAGTTAACAGTTGATTTAAAAGTCTTTTAAGTGCTTGCAAATTCAGGGGCTGGTGCTTAAGTATGCATTTGGCAAAGAAGTTGTAGGAGTTGGCGTGGCGCAGCGGCAAGGTGTCTGCAGAGCAAGCATGATGAGGAGGACTCGGGTTCGATTTCAGCTCGCGTTCGTGTTTTACACTTTACTTTACTCTCAATATTTACATTGTGTCCATTTTTAGAGAGATCAGCTGTGGCGACAAAAAGGTTTGGTCACAGGCGAGAAATGAGGGAAGGAGAGAGATGAAGCACAAAAGAAGAAAGTAAAGTTAGAGATGAGAGATGATGGTGGTGGTGTGTAAGCAGTATGCTTGTGTTTTCTATATATAGCAGCGAGGTAGACGAAGGAAAGGAAGGTGAGCTCGCAAAAATGTAAAGTAGTCAAATGGGAAGCGAGAGAGAGAGAGAGAGAGAGAGACAGAGAATGAGAGCGAAATTTGATTTGGTATTTGTATTTTTTTTTTTCGAAAATAAACTCAATGCGCAGTAAGAGCAATGTAACTGCTGTAATAAATATTACAATACTTAAATTAAATTAATCGAAACTTAAACTGATCGAAATGATAGTTGATTTTTATTCAATATCAATGTTCGACAAGTCTGATTTAAATAATTAATTGAACTGACAACGTATTAGAAAATTGGCTGCAGCTCACTGAAAGACCGACTGCAGTACGAAACGAGGAACAGATTATTGTTTTTCAATAATTGCTATAGAATAACCTATTAGCTAATAGCTATAAACTGTAGCCTACAATGCATACTCACAGACTTTAGAGTTGATTTGACGTGGATAAAGGCGGAACTGACGTAGCGCAGGCCAAAGATGACATGCAAGATAAACACGGCGGAGTGCGGAGAATACCAGCACAGGTCGAAGCGAAGATAATAATAAAGTGCTGTATGTCAATATTTTGCAGCAAATGGTTTTCCATTTAGCAGTTAGAAGCAAATTTGTGAATTCGCCCTAAGGCAGGTGGTCGCGAGGTCAAGGTTAACAAATACAAATATTTCGCTGTCGCCGGCTTGGCCTTTATAGTTAATTACTTTTGGAACTGACGTTTGATTTCAGCATAATTAATATCCGGCTTGCCAGAGAAGTTTCTAAAGTGTGAAAATACTCAAGCTAATCTATACAAGTTAATCAGCGACCCTGGCTCGATTTCACAATATGTCAATATTGAAGTATTCAAATTCCATTTGAAGTGGTTTCGAGGCAGCGTGACTACAGGAGATGCGTGAGGTACCGAGGCTCAGTTCATTCATTATATTTGCTTGTTTCTTAAATTAAAAGACAAGTCATGTTTCAAATGAATCCTAATCATGTTATACAAAAGATGACTTTTGATTGTATGCAGTTATTTTTAAATTTTGCCTCGTTCAACTAATTTATATTGCATTAGTGCGAAACATTGGCTTCAGTTGTGTTCATTATGCTGTTGCACTTGTGCAATTAACTTGTAAACTTAATTAGATACAAAACCACAACAAAGCTGTTTCTATTGCTGTTGTTATTGCTGCTGTTGTGGCTACAGCAGTGACTGAGGGGGGGCTGAGGCTGAGGCTGAGGCTGTGGGTCGCTCGCTCATCACAAGTTCATAGCTGGCTTCGCACAAGAATTGCCTCTAATTGATGTTGCTGCTGTTGTGGATGTTGCTGTCGTGTATGCTGTTGCCGCTGCTGTTGCTGCGGCTGCAGTTGATGGCAGCTAAATATCCGGTATTTTTCATGAAATTTGCATAGCAATCGCCAAAGCTGTTTGGCTTGGGAAGCCTTCACTTGTCATTGCAGTTAGCTGACCGTTAGCTGGCCAATTAGCAGAGCGGAAGAATTTCACGAATGTCATGTCCACAAGCGAGCGGAAGTATTTGTGAGATCTCCCTCAAGAAGATGAATTTACCATGTAGTATCAATAGTGAGAGCTGATATAGGAAATAGAAAGTCCATCAGCTTCAATCTCATTAGCTACCAGGTTATCGATAGATTAGACCGACGGCTAATCCTTTATATTTATCGGATATCGGATATCGATATTTTCGATTGAAATCTATTTCTGCTGCATCCAGTTCAATAAATCGTCTGTTAGAAATACATTTCTCTTCTTCTTTATTCAGACATTATTAAGTATTATGTCTATGCATATTATAACTAATATTGGGTTCGTACAACATGGTCGACTTTTTTTTTTTTTTTTTTTAAGATGCGAATAATTTACAATTGGGTTCTAATTTTCTAGAGCAACAAATGAATTTTGATGATAGCCAAATTGTGAATGATGGGAGGGATAGAGGCACGAGTATTCTAAGGCACTGGATCGATGCAGGCGTTACCCAATACTCTAGCTATACTACTTGCGATAGGTATAGCCACCGTTGGAGCTGTAGCCCTGCTGAATGGTATCCGGGACTTGGCGGGGCGCTGAGTAGGAGTAGCCTGAATCGTTGGAGGGTCCACTGGGAATGCTGTCGCCATTGGGGGCTCCATAGCTGCTCGAGGGTGCTGCGGGTGCGCTATAGGAGGACGAAGGGCCTGTCGAGTAGCTGCCGCTTCCGTTGCTGCTTGAAGATGAAGATGACGACGAGAACGAGGAACCGCCATGAGAGCTGAAGCTGCCTCCGCCGCTAGGAGCCGAGTAAGAGCTGGATGGAGCTGAAGCTGGAGCTCCATATGAGCTGGACGGAGCTGAGGGATAAGGTCCACCGCTGTTGGCACTTGGGCTAGGAGCCGAGTAGGAGCTGGACGGACCGGAGCTGGGAGCTCCATATGAGCTGGACGGAGCTGAGGGATAAGGTCCACCGCTGTTGGCGCTTGGGCTAGGAGCCGAGTAGGAGCTAGACGGACCGGAGCTGGGAGCGCCATATGAGCTGGATGGAGCGGATGGATAGGGTCCTCCACTGTTGGCACTTGGGCTAGGAGCGGAGTAGGAGCTGGACGGACCGGAGCTGGGAGCTCCATATGAGCTGGATGGAGCGGATGGATAGGGTCCTCCACTGTTGGCGCTTTGGCTAGGAGCCGAGTAGGAGCTAGACGGACCGGAGCTGGGAGCGCCATATGAGTTGGATGGAGCTGATGGATAAGGTCCACCGCTGTTCGATCCCGGGCTAGGTGCTAAGTACGAGCTGGAAGGAGCCTGTTTCGGTGCACCATATGAAGAAGAAGGAGCTGAAGGATAGGGTCCTCCACTGTTGGCACTTGGATTGGGAGCAGAGTAGGAGCTGGAAGGAGCTGAAGCCGGTGCGCCATATGAGCTAGAGGGAGCCGCTGGGTAGGAGCCTCCGCTATTAGCACTAGGGCTGGGTGCAGAGTAGGAGTTGGATGATCCGGAGCTGGGAGCTCCATAAGAGCTGGAAGGAGCTGATGGATAAGGTCCTCCGCTGTTGGCTCCGGGGCTGGGAGCCGAGTAGGAGCTAGTGGGAGCCGCTGGGTAGGAGCCTCCACTGTTTGCTGAGGGACTTGGTGCCGAGTAGGAGCTCGATGGAGCAGCAGGTGCTCCATATGAGCTGGACGGAGCTGCCGGATAAGGTCCACCACTGTTTGCGCCGGGGCTAGGAGCCGAGTATGAGCTGGATGGAGCAGCAGGGTATGAACCACCACGGTTGGCACTGGGACTGGGCGCTGAGTAAGAGCTGGACGGACCAGAGCTGGGGGCTCCATACGAGCTGGAAGGAGCTGCCGGATAAGATCCACCAACGTTGGCGCTCGGGCTGGGTGCCGAGTAGGAGCTAGACGGACCGGAGCTGGGTGCACCATATGATTTGGATGGAGCTGCTGGGTAGGATCCACCGCTATTGGCACTTGGGCTGGGCGCAGAATACGATGAGGACGGCGCGCTGAATGATGAGGACGAAGAGTGGGAGCTGCTGCTGCTGCTCGGGGCACCATAGCTGGAAGAGGGCGGCGATATGGGACGGAACGAGCTAGAGCTTGAGGGAGCGCCATACGAAGATGAAGGTGGTGCAGGTGCAGATGGTCCAGATGTGTAGCCGTTGCTACCCAGAACCTGAGTCTTGGAGGGGGCGCCGTAGTTGGTTGATGGAGCTGAAGGCAAGGGCACGAAGCTGCTCACGCTGGGAGCTCCATAGCTGGAGGAGGGAGGTGCTGGTGCGCCGTAGCTGCTGGAAGGCGACTTGGGTGGGCCATATCTGGAGGCGGGTGGTGCTGGTGGAGCTGGTAGTGCGGGAGCACCATAGCTCTGGGATGGGGCTGATGACTTGGGTGGACCGTAGCTCGATGAGGGACGACGTGATTGATGCTGCGATTGATGCTTCCTTGCTGGTGGTGGTCCGTATGTGCGGGATGGTGGTGCTCCATAGCTAGAGGATGGTGGCGCTGGTCGAGATGGTGCCCCATAGCTGGAGGATGGTGGCGCTGGTCGTGATGGTGCCCCATAGCTTGAGGATGGTGGCGCTGGGCGAGATGGTGCTCCATACGAACTGGACGGGCGGTGCGCGGACGCCGGATACGGTCCACCAGAGGAGCCACCCGCTGGAGCTGAGTAGCTGCTGGACGGCGCTGGCCGCGAATTGAACGAAGGCGCCGGACCCGAGGCGGGTGGCAAATAAGAGTTGGCCGGTGGTGCGCCATACTTGGAGGAGGGTCTGCCACCAGACGAGGAGGACGGCGGCAGATACGCATTGTTCAGCGGTGGCTCAGCAGCCACCAGTGCCACGAAGGCGACGGCAACGACGCCAAAAAGCTGCACAAATCGCAAAACAAAACGTGAAATAAACGAGGAAATTAGTTTTCTGTGGCATTGTGTTGGAGGAGGTTGGTGGATGGTGTAGGAAGGGGGTCGGGGAGTAATAGTTAATGTTGGAGCTGCATGGCTTACCAGTGCGTATGAGGAGCTCATCTTGGGGCGTCTCAATAGCGAATTGACCAGGCTAAAAAAAAACAGAAACGAGACCAAATGAAAGTGTTTGAGCGGAAAGTCGATTACGGTAATGTTGCATAAGTTTTTCATCTTCTTTTTTGAGCTCTGCGTTTATGATGCGCGAAATGAGTTCGGAACGAAATGGAAAACGAGCGATAGGGGTCAATCAAGAGGCTTCATTAATCTTGGCAGCCAACCGGCTGTCAATGCCAAGAACAGCGCAACAAGTGAAGCTGCTCAAGATGCTGGCCAAGCGGAAGGTGAGCAGCTGAGAGGTCAGGCAGTGTAAGAGCTGCTAGTAAAGAAGAAGCTGACCGAGAAACGGGCCAAGTGGAAGATGGGTAGGTAAGCAAGAGCTTGAAGTTGCTCAGAAGGAGCTAGTGCAGCAGCTGGATTGGCTTCCAAGTCGTCTCTGATCAGACTTCCTAGTAGTCCTCGATCAGGAAGGAGAAGTAGCCTATAAGGAAGTTTTCCAAGTTGCCTATTGGGACAAGCTGTGAAGGTATTTGTTGCTAAGAAGAAAGAAGCTGGCCTAGAAGTTGGCCTAGCAGTTGACCTAGAAGCTGGCTATAAAGTAAGTTAAGTAGCTGGCCAAGAAACTGCCTAATAAGCTATTGGCCAAGAACTCGCTGACCAACAAGCTGGCCCGGAAGCAGGCCAGCTAGCAATAGGCCAAGCAGCTGACGAAGAAGCCAAGCAGCTGGCCCAGCAACTGAAGCGCATCATCGCGAATCCCTCTCGAGCTGTTTGGCTTTATCATACGTAATTGGCTTTTTGTTGAAGTGCCAAAATATCACACACACACATACACATACAAACACACACACACAGTATAAAGTGAAACTCTTGTTTTATGAATCAAATATAGAGGGCTGAGGGGTTTTATATCTTTTAGCCAGGCTTGGGCACATGAAGTGAAGTGAAACTTTGCTTTTATGCTGGCAATTGTATAAAAAGCCAGGCTAAGGGTTTTAGCCAGGCCCTGCAGCTGCAGCTGGCTGGAGCTGAAGGCGATGACAACGTGGGCTGTTTTATGACTTGGCATTTACTCTAGCTCCCATTGCAACTCCCACCCGAAATTACTCTTCTTCTCTTTTCTTTTACTTGTTTTTCTTTTCTTTACATTGCTTTTCGGCTATTGTCAATTATTTGAGTTTTTCGTTGCTTGTTAGCCACAATTTCTTCACTTTCAATTTGTTGCTGTTGCTGTTGTTGTTGTTGTCGCGTCATTTTTATTGCAGAAACAAAAATAAAGAGCTCCAAAGCCGAATTGTAATTATTTGTTGCTGCTTTGCAGCCGAGCCTCGAGTGTTGACTGCTTTGACCCGCTCACTGGCGCAATTACACAGTATTTCTGTGCATTTTTGTCATGTGCCAACATATCTAATTGAGCGCTGTCGCATTATATAACTTGCTCATGGCAAAGCGTTTAACATGCGCCGTCAGTGCTGAGGCCAAAGTGGCCTAAGTGGCCGCACCACTAAACTCGACGGATTCTACATTAAGGCTTTATGGGCCTATCAAAGACAGCTTGGAAGTTAACAAGTTCACAAGCGAGAGGTGCTCCACTGGGGAGTGCCCGACTAGCAGATACTGTGCAAGCTCGATTGCACATACAGATACATTCATACAGGGGTAGGTGTGGGGATATGATCTTAAGAACATTGGCAGAACACCCTATTAAGTTCCGATTGTTTAAGTGTAAAAACAAAAGCGAAAATGTCTACTAATATTTATCCAAATTCTGAAACCTGGCTAGATTGAGGTTCACTTCTCTCCACAGTATTCTTAATATACCCTGTCTACCCATTTATCATGAGACCATTGTCACATTTATAAATGTCTTCGATGCTTTAGATGGCAGGACGGACGGAGTTCTATGGCAAGACTGAGTCAGTTGAGAAGACATCGCCTTGCACGAAACCAATATACCCCGTTTATACGTTTGCAATGATGTCTGAGGTATATCAATTATACACATATAATAAGCCTATTCAAGTTGATGTCTTTAGCTTGTAGTTTAAGTATGAACTAAGGTCATACAGACTGAAGGATAGACAGATGAACTCACGAACGGACGGACTGACTGGCTTGGCGAGATCAGCTCTGATGACAGAGCGTAGCTCGCGCTCTCTTTCGCCTGTCACAAACACTTGCACAGAACCAATATATCCCATTTTAATCCACTTCCAATGGGCCAGACTGCTGTTGGGCTTGATTTTCAGATAGACTCGGCTTGGCACACGGTTTCACTTTTTCGATAAACAACACACTTGGCCATCCTCTGCTGTCCTTTGGCCTCACTAACCGTTTCAGATGGCAACAAGTTTGATTAGGCTGTTGCTGCTGCTGTTGTTGAAGATGGTATGCTGCTCGCCCGATTGTCGATTGCAAACTACTCTGCGGTCTGCTGCGTCGCATGCACTTTTATACGTTAGCCGGCAAAGCTGAACGAACATCATAAAGCGATGGGCCAAAGACAAAAGACAGCGTCGCATCACAACGCGTTGCTTGGCGTCGCTGCGAGCAGCCGCTGCCGCAGCTGAGGCTGAAGCTGAGACCGAAGCCAACGCCACAGCCAGAGCCAAAAAGCAATGCCTCAATCCAAACACAATGAGCGGGCAACATGTTTTCAATTTCGTATTTTATGTAACTCCACAAATGCACTCTTCAAAATGCGAATCACTCCACGCTGCCAGCATCTACATTTGAGCATACCACAACAGCAACAACAACAGCAACAACAACAACAGCGGGCAACAAGCTAGTTGGCTCTGAATATTAGAGATAAGTGGCCGACAGACTTGCTAATACCCTGTAAGCAATTCTAAGCATACCTCCATTCATATTGAGACTTCATTTCAGACTGCAGACTATGCCCGACTATGCAATATCCTGTGATTTACATTATGCTGTCTTCCTTTTGACTACATAAATTCAAGCTCATGCTTTGCTAAATAGTCAAATCTTGTGACTGTCATGAGTTGCCAATTTTTGCATGTCAAATTTTTGATTGGTCAAGTATAGAAGAATCGGTGGGTTATAAGATACCCTATAAGCAATTAGTATATTTAGTATACTGTTGCTTAAAAAGCGGAAAAAGCAAAATTGAGTCTGAGAATATCTATCCTGACGAAATCATCACTGGAGAGGGAACTTGGACAGCTCTCCTCCTGCTTGCTCTATACATGATCACAAATGCAAGATATCCCGCTGCGCGCATACAGGGTATCATTAGAGTAACAGCAATCAAGAATATATTTAATAGATTCCCGCATCGTCTGTGACGTCACCCAAGCTCGCACCTAACCAATATACCCTACTGTACACACTCTCGATTTGTGCACAGGGTATTTGTAATAGCAATAAGTAAAGGGGGCTTTTGCTTTGAAGATTTTTGCATGGATTGAGATGCCTGCGGGGCAAACTTGACACAGACACAGTCGCCCACCCGCTGGATGCATGCGTGTGTATGTGTGTGTGTGTGTGAGCGTGTGGGGCAAGTTCAGTGGCGACATCAAACCACGAATCGCCAAATCGCTAAATTGCCAAAAAGTGCGCCCACTGTGCGTATGCTGAATGGGAGTTGCGCATACGCCCGGTGGCACGAGTCAAATCGGATCGTTTGGTTAATGCATTTTACAATAGTTTATTTTGGTGTTGTTGGGAACGTGATTTAGGCAACAGTTGGTGGAAACTCGGGCTTCTTCCAGATGTAGCTGGCCCAGGGAATGCACTCCTTCAGCAGGTGCATGTAGGCTAGTCCATTGGGGCAGTCGACTTCGGTGGCAGCTGTGCCGAGTGTCTCGCAGAGCCAGTACTTGGCCGGGTCGAAGTGATGGGGGTATGTCTGGCCGATTTCCGACTCATCCTTGCAGGCCGAACGACCGGCATCACCATTCACAGCAACAACAAAAGCGGCCAAAACGGCGCAGAGGACAAAAACTAAAATACGAAGAACGGAGACGTTGAGAAATGGAATCACTATGTCAATATACCAATATACGTATGTAGTGAAACTATATACCCACCGGCTTTCATGGTTGGTTGAGAAGGTTTCTAGGAGTTATGTGACTGAAGCGTGCGGCACTTCGACCTTTATATGGACTCCCAACTCGAATCTTGCCATAAAAGACAAAATAAATGCGAACAGAATTGAGAACAAGCGCAACCGTTGATTATTATCACAGCATGATAACACAAACATCAGGAAGTACGACAGAGAGTGAGAGGCGTGTTCCTATATATAATGTTAGTTACTCAACTAATTGATTTGATTTCTGGCAGCAAAGAAAAACAACAAAAGCAAAAACAAAGCGGACAGAAAAATAATAGAAAGTGCAGGAAAAGCAAGAAATTTGATTATATTTTGAAATTATTTTGATTGGGGTTTCAAGGTTTTCTGTTCAACAGCCGAAAGAAAGTACAAACTTAATTAATTGAAATACTACTGATAGCCATTTAATCAGATGACACTAAAACAAACTTCAGATGCAATCAGTTCTTTTATACCCTGAACCCATTGAAAATGGAAGACAGGGCATAATGGTTTTGTGAAAAGTATGTAACAGGCAGAGGGCAGCATCGCAGATCCCATAAATTATATACATATATATAGTGTATATATGTACATTTGATGAATACGAAGATTTTGTAATTTACAGATTTTGGATACCACGCCTCCATCGCCCCCAATTTGTAAAAAAACGTATTTCAAGTACTAGAGACTTGCGCATCGAAATATACATACATTTGAATATTATGATCACGTTCTGAAGGTCTCTCCCACACTGCAGCGCAGCCCAAGCGCAGTCGCTGCTTACTGCGCAGTTAGCAGAGCGCGTGATTATACGTGCATAAAAAAAGTGCAGAATGAGTAGATTATCAGCTTGGAGGGCTCAGGGTATCTCCTAGTCGAGCAGTATCGACTAGAGCCATCTTAATTGTTTTACTTTAATTTTAAATGTGTTAAAAGGGTCCAGTTAGACATACATATATGTATGTATGCATATACATATGTACACATATTTATAAATTATTTATCTTATATATATTTAAAATATTTATCTTCTATCCATCATCATGAATATTCTATTGTATATAAAATATTTTCGTAATAGACTTTATATTTTATTTATTTAGAGAATAACTAAATTTGTTTGATATACTAATTAAATGAAAAGTAGCATAATAATTTGTTGAGATGAACTACACTAAATTATGATAATTATTATTTATTAAAGCTAATTTGTTATTGTCTAATATATATGTAAATTTGCATGTAAAAATTTATAGACATAAGAAGTGAATCATAAACTGATGACTGGTGAAGAGGAGGACAGCAGGAGAAGCAATTGGAGCAGGAGAAGCAGCAAGGGTCACAATCACATAACTGCTCGTTGCCTCCTATTCCAGTTCTTCTTCTTCTTCAACAAGAGAGGTAAACTCTGACGCTTCTTTTGCTTCTGCTAGCCACTTTCTACTGTTACTCAAATTTAAGCAATATACTTGACTTTGCTTTGCTTTTCTTTAAATTTCCCCTCAAATAATATAAAATGTATTTAGAATTTAGCTCCACCTTTCATGTTATGCCTTTGTCAATGAAATGAATATTTTGGCCCAAGCGCCGCTTTACCAAAAGTCTATTTGGCTTAAATAGCAAAAAATAAAAACATCTTTTGGCTGTTTGTTGTTGTTGTATTTCATATTTTGTAGGGCTCTATGCATATTGATTGACGAGCTGCTTTGTTTAATGGCCACTGAGCCCGGCAGCGATGCCATTAGCAAAGTCTCTGGTTGCACAAAGGCCTGGGCCAGCATAACCCAATCAAACTGTTGAACAATATAATTATGCTCGTGCTGTAATGTGGATTCATTTAAATTGCAAAACTGGCCAAGAAACGCTTCCTCTGCGCAGTTCGTATTTATTTATTTTTCGCAAATTACATATTTAACACACATTTATTTATACATACGCATATTTATTTTGGCTGATATGTTACATCTTTTGTTAACTGTTTAGCGCTTTGTGTGTGGCTTTTGTGTGCCGTGGCTGACCCCCTAAAGCGCTTCGTGCCGAACACTTGACCAACATAGATGCCCGAGTGTGGCTGGCAAAAAGCAACAGCAAAGCTATCACGAAATAATCTGAGCCAAAAACAGTTAACACATTGATGAATAAAAGCAAAAAAGGCCAACAAGTCACAGAAAAAAGGCCAAAATCTATTACAAAATGCTTAAAAAGCAATTACAGTTTCCGCATTGAACTGTGCGGCTAGCAGGTGCCAATGGAGTGAGCGAGACAGAGAGAAAGAGACAGAGGGAGATGGAGAGAGGATGACTTGGATCCCACTGCGTTTGGGTTCATTTAATGGGAGTTGCGTAGCTAGGAAAGGGCTAAGAGAAGGGCAGGGCAGGGCAGGCAGCGAACAGGTAAAAGAGAGAGATAGAAAGAGGGAGAGAGAGAGAGAATGATTTCAGCCTCTCCCCCTGTGATAGGGGAGAAGGCAGAAGACAAATGCTCAGCCTCAGCAGACAGAAAGAAAGAGAGTGATAGACAGAGGGAGAGAGAGAGAGGGAGCTAGACAATGACTTGATCGCCCCGCCGGGCTTCACTTAATGAGCGTTGTGTATAGTCAATTAAGACTGTAGTTTGCTTGAATTTCGAGCATTTCGTTAAAGACGATGACGAAGATGATTGCACAGGTTACAGGCGCTACAGGTGCGACAGGTGCGCGGAGGGGGCAGCTGCACGGCAGGCACTAGGGCAGAGGCAGTGGCAGTTGCTCATTATCGATTAAGTGGCTACGCTTAGCGTAAATTCCATTACATGCTGGCGACTGGAGCAGGTGAAGGCGGCCGGGGAGGAGGCGTGCGGGCAGCAGACATTGCACAAGCAACATCTGATGTGTCCATATCAGATGATAAGCTCTAAAAATAGCTAGAAAAACAGCTAGAAAATCTAAGGTAATTTGCAGAAAGTGCTTTTGCTTGCTTCGCATTTAGACAGCTGTCCCAGATAAGGAGCCCAACCCAGGCACCCGAGGCACCCAAATCGAACATTGCCATCGAGCGCACGCACGGGAACACTATAAATATGCTTGCAGAATGCCAGCAAATGCAACATTTCCATTCGAGACACGCAACAAAATGCATTCAGGTTAGAAGTCGATGTCCTTTGGTGTTTGTCAAGAGTGAAGGGTGAAGAGTTCATCTCGTCTCTTTGTTTCAGCCACCATTCTGAGCTTCCTGCTGCTGGGCATCTTTGTCACGCTGGCCTCGGCCTACAACGGCCAAGACATCTATGCGGAGCCCAACTGTGACGTCGTTCAGGATCACTCGCGCAAGTTCCGTGACATCTCCGACCCCACGCACTACTGGGTC